TGTCAGAAATACGAGCGTTGAGTCATCCTTGAATAGAAAAATGAAACCATGATATTTAGGCCCGATGATTATAATCAGGCGTCCAAGGGAGGTTCGTACATTGTGGCGGAAATGGATGGGGCTGTGTTTCAAAATAAAGTTGGGGCCTTTAGAATTATCCCTTACTTTGCAAGGACTAAGATAATGCTTCCAGACAATATTTATGAAATCATAGACCTCAACAAAGAAAGCTTAGACAAATTAGACGAAGAAGGACTTGAAGATCACGTCGATTCGAATGACTATTACTTCGAAGGCGTAAATCTGGACCAAAACGTTCAAGATGACACCGGCAGAATGGAAGCAAACGACAATGATGATTAGTTTATTAAAAACACGACAAGTTCTTGCTGAATTAAATAGAAATCAAATGAAAACAATGAAAGATAAAAACTTACGAAGGATGGCGAAATTGGCTGGACAGATTCCTCGCGAATGGGCGATGGAGTATGGACAGGCGAAGGAGCGCGTTCTGCAATCGGCGATGGGTGACGACGAGCGATAGGCATAGACGGCGCCAGGAAAGGATTTGCCCTGACGGGCGCGTCACAAATCGCAGGGAGAACTTGAAGAAGTTCATCATTACTCAAAGGAGTAATGATGAAGTCTCCAGTAAGACAATCCTCCTAGAAATATAGAGGTTAGACTAGATAAAAGAAGAGATAAAAAAAAAGAAAAACTTACCTCAGCATAATATTCGTCTTCGAGAGGTGCCTCGAGCATCCACTCATCCCAATCCGGATTGGCGTGATCGGTACTCAAGACGGCCCACGCATTGTAAAGCGATTTACGAACGCGAAGGTCGCCGGGAGTTTCTTGAGAGCCATCATCGAGGGAACGGACGTAGTGAATCTATAGGACAAATATTAGCATAAGAATAAAAAGAATGAATGAAAAAAGATGACGTACCATAAGCGGGTGAACAATAGTCAACAGATTAGCGATGTCTTCACCATCGCAGTCAGCGAGACCCTCCTCGTTGAACAATGAGTGAGCCAAGTAGTAGACAGCACGGGTAAAGACAGAACCGTCGAAAAGAATTTGCCAGCTTGCCATGATGAAATAAGAGATGCGAAGGGAAGAATGGGGACCTTGAGAAAGAAAAGACGACCAAAAAGGGGTCCTCTTTTATAGCACAAGAAAAACAAAAAGGTCACCATGTTCCTAGTGTTTGGAAGTCCGGTCTCGTGACTGGAAAAAGACCGTAACCAGACCGGACCAAGACCGCAAAAGACCGGACCTGCGGTTACGGTCTTTTATTTTTGAAATGTAAAGACCGCAAAAAGACCGGTTAACGTGAACCGGTCTTGACCGGTTTGGACCGGTTTTTTGTAGCCCCTTAAATACCCTTTAAAACGCACCCAAGAACGTACGATTTGGTAAAAAAACGAGAGAGATATGAATTAAAATGTAAATTACTTTTGGGAATAATAGATGTACCAGACTTATTTTATAGAAGCACCAATACCTAACGGGATTTAACGTTCTTGGGCTCGTTTTGAAGCTATTAGAGATGTTAATAAATTTACCGATTCATAATTTTAAAATATTGGCCTAAAGACCGGTCATAAACCGGTTAAAACTGATGCAGACCGAAACCGGTCTATAGACCGCAAAAAACCGCGGTCTGCGGTCTTTTTGCGGTTCGGTCTGGTCTTTTGACTTCTGGGGAAAAGGCAGACCGGTTACGGTTACGGTTAACACCCCTGGGCATCAAAAAACCGGACCGAACCGGACTTTCAAACACTACATGTTCCAGAGGAACTCCGTGTCTGATTTGTTGCGGTTCCTGCAAATCATGAGAATCGAAGAACTTAAGAAAGTT